CTTAATAATACTATAATACCCTGTTGTAGATCCTGGTCACAAATACCAATACCACATGGATGTGATGCATTTCAAGCTATTTGTCCATTTTGTGCCTTACCTCTTGAAGGTGAAGATGGTTTTGTGAAGCTTATCTTTAGCACAGAACAATGATGAACTATTGAGCTGGATTGCTGAATAAACCAGTCAAAAAGAAATTAGTGCAGAACATTGCAGACTCTTGAGGTCTTCACTGGCGAGTATGTGATATAGAGGAGTCAGTGGTGTAAATGCATTGAGGTCATCAAAATTAATGTACAAAGAATTACTGAAATTTAAATGCCAGAGCTTAAAAGGCTTCCCATAAARTAGAGTTGTCTAATATAATTTAGTATAAACATACTTCTAATGGTCTATCACTCATACTGCACTGTAATTGGCTACTCTACTAATGGTCTAATTTGTGATAGACCACTCACGGGAAAAATCAAAATAAATAAATTATAAATCATTTTAAGGATATTTCAATTTTTTTTCATTATTTGACCGATTAGTATGTTTATACTAAAACAATTAGACCTCTCGGCCTCGTGGACTACAAGCTAATAGCCCATTCGGCCTCGCGGACTCGGCCTCATGGGCTATTAGCTTGTAGTCCACTCGAGCTTGAGGTCTAATTGTTAAATATATGTATCACTATATAATATGTGAATTGCATTATGACGTCATATATGACAACTTTTTTTTACAACTACCAGAATGCTTTGTACACTTTCTTTTGTACTGTAATTAGTTGCTATTGTTCTACTGATCTCGAAAGGGAATAAAAATCTGATTAAAATGAAAATAGAGTGTAGGTAGAGTATTCTGGTAATGGTAATAAAATGATGCCATAATGCATATTGGCTGTTATAGTCAGTATATTTAAAAATGGTTGTCAGAGAGAANTTATGACGTCATATATGACAACTTTTTTTTTACAACTACCAGAATGCTTTGTACACTTTCTTTTGTACTGTAATTAGTTGCTATTGTTCTACTGATCTCGAAAGGGAATAAAAATCTGATTAAAATGAAAATAGAGTGTAGGTAGAGTATTCTGGTAATGGTAATAAAATGATGCCATAATGCATATTGGCTGTTATAGTCAGTATATTTAAAAATGGTTGTCAGAGAGAATTGCAATTACATGATGTACTCAGAGGTAGTCAATATTGCATGAGGAATATTGTAGTCCCAAAAAACATGGGAAACCAACAAAACATCATTCTTGGAAGATCTTGAAGTTCATAGAACCAATATGCAAACATAATCACATTCTCCAATCACCCAAACAACCTTTTTTGAATAAATCAGAGTAACTCTGACTATATCAAATTACTATATTACATYTACAGTMAAAAGACATGAAGCRAGCCCCCGAATTCATCATTGGATTTTTCATTATATTTTCGTTTTCAAATTTCAGTTGAGTTATGCAAATTTAAATTCAAATCTCGAACTCTGATTGGAWAATCGACTACACAGGAAACCCGGCGCCAAGTGCCCTTAGAGAGAAACCAATAATTGACCATATGAAAAACGAGCAGAAGACTGGGAATGAGCACCTTAAACGGTCCATGTTTTTAAAAATCTGTTTTTACAAKAAGAAAGAGTATATTTAAATTAGTGAATTATTGGCAGAGCTATGAGAACTTGAAATCTAACAAAAACATGAAAACGAGGCTAGTAAGGCCTCGATACTGATTTTCAATCAAACCTTTGCATTTAATTTGTGGTCCATAAATGTTAGAGCATTGATACTTWCAGATTTTATTTTGATATGTTCTTTGATATGTCAAACAACTGATAAACTAAGGTGTAATGGTAGCCACGCCCTTTTTCATATCGTCTATAACGCAATATCAAGGTTACTCTAAAAACGAAGTAGCACGTGTTTTACGAATGTCGGTGAGCTCTGTTAAGAAAATAACACGGCATTTACAGCCTTTTACATGGGACCATCATTCCTTTCTCAAGCACCAAAGTAACAGACAAGCCAGCATGTTTGCCAGTAAACTATGAAGAAACCTGAAGGTTTATGAAAATAATCCAATAATCCAAACAAATTTCAATGTTTGAATTCAAATTTAA